GAGAGAGAGAGAGAGAGAGAGAAAGAGAGAGAGACAGAGACAGAGACAGAGACAGAGACAGAGACAGAGACAGAGACAGACAGACATTCTCTAGGAATGTTCTATCGTCCGTTTTCGTCATCCACCCCTTGGCACTCATATGACCTAATGCAGTTGCGAGCGTCGTGAAACCTCTACTAAAACTAAAACTTTCTTCATACTTTCTACTGCTACTCCGTGGCTCCTTCTTGCTGCTGTCTTTCTGCCACACCCCTGATCTTTTCGTAGGAAAGATCTACACCTAGCCTTTTCGGGCAAGGGTGAAAAATATCGGAGGTCCCGTGTGCACGTTGCGCACGTTGTAGATCCCTTGGTGGTCCAAAATCGAGAAGAGTAGGCTTCGGCCGCCACCCGAGGAAAATTCAAAGTTTCCTTCTAACTGAAAATGTTTAGTGTGTCCCGCGCACTCATATAACCTTATGCAGTTGCGAGCGCCGTTATAACACACTTACCAAAAAAAAAAAAGGATTTAAGTACAAGCTGAGAGTCGGGAGTCGGGAGTCGGGAGTCGGGAGTTCAGACCGTAAACGTTGCAAGTTGCAAGTGAGACTTGAGTACGTTTACTGCAGCAGCTGCAGAACGTTGTAACGAGGTTTTACCGTAGGCCTAGCCTATTACTCATTGTTTGTTGTTTACATCGCGCTCTGCCAGTCGGAAGAGTCGACCTTGAGTGGCGGGAAACGAACGACATGTTTTTCCTTTGTTTTTGTTTAATGTTTGCCTTTTGTTTGGTGGGTTTTTTTTAGGCCTAGATCTAGCTCCTGCTTCCTGTTGTCACATACACTTGCTTTGCTGCTCGCGCTCTCCTCCCCTCACCCTTTCATTGAGGTAGTTCTAATCTGAACAACAACATAGGTCTCTAGTTCTGCATGATTAATGATTTTGCTTTTACTTAAAACGGTGAATTGTTAGAGGTTCAACGCCCCTATCAGCACTATTATGTAATTTAAGAGTTTGACGCCCATCTCAGACAAGACCGAGTCAAATAGGAAATTCGTGTAAAGTGGCTTTCCAAATGACACAACGTCAGTATTTTTACGTTTAAGCATCTTCCGTTTAAAGACAGCTGCGAAACGAAAACATCTGACAATACACACGCAGCAAAATAAATATAAATAAATAATCTAGATCTAGATCAATAAATAAATAAATAAATAAAAATTAGAAAAAAAAAACCAATACAGCCGTTGCATGCTTGCCGCTGGGGATAAATATTAAAACGAGCAATTCTGACAATTCAACTCAAGCTTATTTTCGTTTATGTTGAACTCACCATAACCATTTGAATTTAACAAATCGCTATCCTAGAATTACAAAGTTCTAAGTACTCAGTAGGCCTATGTAAAATCTATTTCACAACATATCAAGCTTTTTCAAATGCAATAATTCTATTGTATTTTTATTTTTTTAAAGACTGTAAATAATCATACGATTTAGATAGAGCCGATATAGAACACGGTTTCTGACCTCTGGTCTTAAACTCAAAACAGCCAAAAGCCAAAAATGTCCAACAGAACTTTGGTAGCGAAAATGTAAAAAGGAAAAGGTGCTGAGGCCCGAGCAAAACATCAACTTTTGCGAAGATGAACTGCAGCCAGCAGGCCTAGTTCAAAAACTGAAGTCAACTGTACGTGACTCGACAACAGGCAATGCCAAGGCCGAGCGGGAAGCGAGAAGTTACATTTAGGGTGCGTCCACATTACACGCGAGAGCGCAGGGCTAGGCAGGAACGAGAAGAAATAAAACAGATATTTTTGACTGAATGGCCGGCCATACTGTGAGCTGTTCCCACGTGAGTCTAGAACTGTACATCGCTACTACTACTACTACTACTACTACTACTACTACTACTACTACTACTACTACTGCTACTACTACTACTACT